CCTGCATTGCAGCTTGGTGAAAAACTGCAGCACCAGGCTTGGCTGAGCCAAGACAACTCTCCTGATCTACGCCATGAGATGATGCATATTGTTATAGGCTGGGGTGTAGCTCAATAGTAAAGCACTTTCCTAGCACACAGAAGGCCTTGGGTTCCATCTCCAGCAAACAAAAGTCAATCAATGTATGCTGCTTTGTAGCACATAACTGTTGATACCTTGTTATCGAGCAACAGAGAACCAAGACATGTTCCCAGAGAAGAACCTTTGGGTACAACAGAGACTGAGAGGGCCGAGGGGGCTGAGGATCCCCTCTGTCCACAGAGGACAGACACTGCCAGCCTTGTCCAGTGATGGCCATGGGGGGATCTGACAGCAGTATCCCCAGATTTATTCGCTTTTCAAGAATATATAGAAACCTGACTTGTCCAAAAGCTCATCGTTTTTAGGTGTTGGCCACCAATTTGGTGTTTTTAGAACCACCATACAGTGAGCTAATCTGCCGGGCAAGAAGACATGTGCAGAAGTTAGACTCCGATACTCAGGTCACCAGGAGTTGCCCCAGTGAGCCCATGCAGACTCTGCACTCCAGTGCTTTTAACCGCTGGTCTTGGGCCTTCGGTGGAGGTCACTGAGAGGGCTAGAGAACTTGACAAAAAAGTTCTTACAGTGTTGTCTGTTACAGAGCACAAAGCAAGATTCTTTATTTTATTATTATTAATGTTAGCGTTACATTATTTTCCCATGGCTATTATAACAAATTGCCACAACCTGGTGCCTTAAAATAAAACAAATATATTATCATACAGCTCTAGAGGCTACAATTCTCCAGTCAGTGTTACCGAGTTGAAGTCAAGAGGTGAGGGCTGGTTCCTTGTGGAGGTTCAAGCAGAGAATCTGTTTCCTGGCTTTGTGACCTTGAGAGCGCACCTACACCCTAGGTCTTTCTGTCCCTCTGCTCCAATCATCACCCTGGCCCTGTCTGACTCTTACTCCCCCATTCTCTCCTATAAGGATGCTTGTGATAATGCTAGACCCACCCAATAATCCAGGACACTCTTCCCATCTCACGCTCTGATCCCTACCTCGGTCACATCTGCAAAGTCCCTTTTGCCACGAAGCTGCTATTCACTGTTTCTAAGGATTAAAACATGAACATCTTTGGAAAGCCACCGTTCAGGCTGCCGTATCTCCTCTCACTGTTCCTCAGCCCACAGACTCATCTCTGTGTGCTTTGAGACTCAGGGACACAGGGATGGTCCAAACACCTGTGACCTCAAATGGTGGGGGTGCCCGGGGTAGCGCTCTGTCTCCAGATGTGGCCTTGGGGTTCTACGACAGTGGCAGCAGGCAAGGAGTTAGGGCTTCTTTATCATGAGGCCAGGGCAGAGGTGAGCTTTCCCAACCTCCTTCCATTACAGCCTTGGCTTCTCTGGAGGAGCAAGCCAGCAGTGCATGAGGTAAGTCACAGAGGAGAATATAGCTAGATCTGCATGGAGCCATGCTCAACCACTGGAACCTCAAAACAGTAATCTCAGGAGCCTGAGCAAGCAGTGCTGTCTTCATTTGTTCCATTTTACCATGGTGTCTCCTCTCCTAATCAGGCACTGATTACAGTACATCGATTTTAAGCTTTTCCCAATCTGCATTCTGACTTTCTTGAAATTAACATCCCATTTTGAAACTTACTCATTTCATCCCAAACAGAACGATGTTGCTTTGAAATCACATTCATTTTATAGAACTCATGAAGCATCCGGCAAATTAAGAGCAAATGACATTATTTTCTAGTTAAATTTGCAAAGGGATGATCTGAATGAATTACTCATATTCCCGATTAATTTTAGTAGAAATAATGAAGAGGCTGTAAAGCAAAAACATGTGCTTACAGAACCTGCCTTTCAAGCACAAACAATTTATCCTAATTATGGCTTCAAATAAGGTAATCTTAGAAAACTTCTTTAGCAGCTTAAACACGTCTAATGGGATAGCTACACAAGTCTCCTTTAATGACATGTGAGTTTTAATTGGCTTGAATTCTACTTCATAGCTCTCTCTCTCTTTCTCTCTCTCTCTCTGCCTTTCTCTATCTCTTTGTCTAATCCTCCCTCCATCTGTCATTAACTGACTTATTTGCTTTATCCAGAATTGGTAAGTATATGTGGAAATGGATAACAAGAGTCCATTAGTTCAACAAGGAACTCTTTTTGGAAGATCACTTGTTAAGAAAAATCAAATTCTTAAAATACTGACAGCTTATGAATCAACAATTAATTTTGAGAATTTAACCTAAATAAATAACAACTGGTGCATACAGATTGAGCATTAAGCTGAAACATCGTTTTAAAATCAAAGTAATATCCATGCATTGTAATACTACATAACCATGAAATAAATATATTTGCTTAATGAGGAAAAATTCTGTACAGTATAATATTTTTACCAAAAGCTAGTTATAAATGATGTGTTCAATACAATTTTATTTCTTTGTCCACATGATTAAAATTCTAGAAGCTATAGTACATACTCAAAAGTCAACAAGGGGTCTATTCCCACGTGTCTGGAATCTGGGTGACTTGCTTTGTTCCAGTTCTGCTGTATTATCTGTCATTTTTTAGTGATGCATAGTAAATATGACTGCTGTTGTTTCTTACAGTAGTTTCTGATTCTCTAAATACTGTCAAATCATATCATTTTCTATCCCTTCTCAATCTTTAAGTTTGCTTTGCTTTACCTACACACACACACACACACACACACACACACACACACACAGTGGGAGGAGAGAACCAGGAAAGAGGAAAGGGGATTAATAACAATAATAATGATAGCTACTACTCACCGAAACTTTTTACATGATGGATTGTGTTGAACATATGACAAGCAATCTCAAGCCTTATAAGAAGACTCTAAGGTAAGTGCTGTCACCTTCCTCATTTTACTAAGGAAATACTGGAGCTTGGCAAAATTGAGAGCATTTTTCTCCCCCCACAGGCAACAATGTTTCAGAGTTGGTGTTGGAACTAGGTCTGGCTCAGTGATAGCACTGATCTTTATCTCTGCATTATCTGTGCCTACCATATAGTAGTAAGATTAACCAAGATTTTCCAAAAATAGAAAAATAGCAGAGAGAGAAAAGATATAAGAACCTGATTCCTGAAATTACGAAGATGGAAAAGTCACAAGATCTTCAGTCCCAAGATTGAAGGCCTAAGATTCAGGAAGGGAAAAGGCATAAATTCAAGTCTGACTGAGAAGGCAGGAGGAGATAATGTCTCAGTTCAAGGCCATAAAGCAAGGAGACCTCATTCTCTCTTATCTGCCCTTTGTTGTATACAGGTCTGCAGCCAATTGGATGCAGCTCACCTGTGTATGCAGGGCACACTGCTGTACTCCGTCTACCAATTTTAATGTTATCTCATCCAGAAATGTCCTCACAGCTGCACCAGAGTAATGTTTAACCAGGTATTGGGGCCACCCCTGTCCCACATATGTGGAATATCCCAAGCCCTTAATTCACTCCAAGTCTCCCCGGAGCACATGTCAAGACTGATTTTATGATAATTTACAAGTGCAGCTCCAGATTCTCATGCAAGCTTACTTCAGCACTGGCCCAAGCGAGCATTTGAGCTCTTTTCTGACAGTAAACCAGCCCTCCAGTGACATGCAGCCAGCTGCGTGTTCTGGTGTGACACGTAAGCAAAACAAATAAGTAAATAAATGATCAAGGGGAGTAAAAAATAACAGTATTTTATTACAGGAGAAAATCCTATGACATTTGAATTTCAACGTCTATTAAGAATGTTTCTTTATTGGAACACAGTTTTTCCCATTCCATCACATTTTTCTACAGCTGCTTTTGTGCTGCAGCGGCTGGAAAGTGGCTGCAACGGAGTCCAGGAGAACTGACAGATTTACCACTTGACCCTCTACAGGAAGTTCTCACGACCCATGTTCTACAGCCTCAGCTTGCTGTGTGCACAAGTCACTTGAGAATAATCTGCAGCTCCTTGGGGAAGCGCACATTACTGGTATGCTTTGCTTCCCTCTTTCAATCCAAATATTCCAACTCCAAATATCTCAAACTAAATCCAAATCCCAAATATCAAAAAAATCCAAATCCCAATCCACATGTCTCAAACTATCCCAGTTTTACCATGACAAACCAGCTACTTTTGATTTTATTTCCTTCCAAATATGAAGCCCCATGTAGATGTTTACAAGTATGAATGTGTGATTTGCTTTAACAATTTGCATTCATTTAAGATCTCATTAATTTACCCTCCTTTAAGAACAAAGTGAGGAGTGGATTCTTTGTCCAATCTATAGTACCTAGCACTATGCAAAGGAGAGGGTTGGTGTTCCAGGGGCCTACTGCGTGTACTCATGTGTTCATGGCATCTTTATGCGTTAGAAAATGCATGACTGTGGATAGCATGTCAGGTTTCCTTTGGCCTGTAGAGTGCTGCTATTTCAGCTGAAATTCCCTGCCAACAGTTAGCAACTGATAAACACAGACTCAAATTTTTAGCTTCCCTTGAAAACTCAAGAACTCTATCCCTACAGGACCCACAGTCTCCTATCACTAGCTGTCTGGTCTTGGCTTTTTGATATTTCATTCTGGTTTCCCTTAACCCTCTTCTCTCATTCCATCCTCTGATGGCATTTAAAATTATAACTTCTGATACAGCTATAAATATATGTCCATCTGTAGATAACCCACTAGTGTGTCTATAGGTGATGTACACAACCAAATGGATTTCAATATAAATATACACATACAATAATCACAAAGTAGATGGATAAGTGAATGAATGAACAATCAAGAATAGATTAATTTTTTAAACCAACTGGCCACTCTGGGAATTCCAAAGATGGAATTTAATCCACGTGATACACTGTTGAATGCAAAAGTAAACCATCTGCTCAAACAATGCTGGTCATATAGTTCTACATGAAAATTCCCAGATTTCTGGGCTAGAAGGGAGAAATTCCAAACGTACCATTGAATTTTTCACGCTTTGTAGCAAATGCTCATGCTGCTCCGCTATGGCCAAAGCAGCGGAGTGGACTTTCTGATAGATGGCCTCCCCATCTCGCGTCTGAAAGATAAACAGCCCTTCACCAGTCTCACACATCCTGTGAAGACAAAAACAAGAAGCTTCTGAAAACCCAGGTCCCAGAAGTCCAATGGATTAAGGTCTTGTGCCCATATATATGTGCTTTTTAAAAGCAAGGTTAGGATTCCTGTTCGCCATTTGCTAAACAAAGTAAAGTAGAATCAAAATGCTCAAAGTGTCCAACTATCTGTTATAAATATGGGCAGGGAACCAATCACTCAAGGCCAAGACATTCCAAGTGTTTTGTTTTTGTTTTTATCCATGAGCAAAGTAGAAGATGAACAAAAGAGCCATTTCTTGACTCTCAGTATAATCCCCATACTTCACTTGCCACCCCCAAACAGGAAAGCTGGACAACTGTGTCCCTGTCCAGTCCATGGGCAGCTTCTCCTCAGAAACCATGCCAGTCACTCTAAGGTAGAAGCAGAATTCTTCCTCTCTCTTCCATTCCATACTCATTTCCACCACAGGCAATGGTTTTAAGGATTCTTTCATTTCTAAAATCCCACGTGAAATTATTTTTCCAGGTTCCACTCAACCTGATGGATCAAGGGCAGCCTTCTTTTCTTTTTCCTTTAAAGAGCATGATTCCACTGAATTACTGTTTGGAACATAAGGGACATTCTTTAAAGGAAACTGGGTGGGCATGATAACTGACCTCAAGTGTGATGAAGAAGGTCACCTATATTCCAGACCATTAAAAAATGGAAACATTTATGAATAAGAGAAGACTGCTATACACAATTAAGCCAAAACAACTGCTTTTTAATTAAATGTATATTGCTATATAAGCATTTAATATAAATGTATAGTAAAATGTAATGACTCGATATTTTTAAAGGACTTGGACAAAATCATATGCAGGATCACTGAAAAGCGCTCTGATTTTGGTGCATACATACTGCCACCGTAAAGGCAGAGAGTGGTCCTGTTGTTTGTTCTAAGGGACCTAATTCTTTGAATTCTCCTCCTATCTCTTCAGAATCTCCTGCTGAATACTGAACACTGGGTTTAGTGCCTATTTTGCTCGCATCTGAAAAACTGTTTAACACAAGACAGAAATTAAGGAAACATTCTGCTCAAACCACTGTTAAGTTTTTAAATCTACTTCAACACATCCAGTCAATGTAAAGCAAGGAAGATTTATGCCAATCTAATTTTTCACAATTAACACAGCTGTACGGCAGTCGTCTCCATACATGGCAGGGTTTGTGGAAATGGCCAGAATCTGTTTAGCTTGAATTTCTTGCATATGAGCTATGCAGGGGTAAGAGGAAGAAAAAGAAGGAATAGCACTGCCAATAATCTGATATGAAGAATTAGCTCAGGAAGTTGATCACGCAGTTTTAGTGATTAAGTCAGTTTCATCTAATGAAGAACGAAAACCTACAATTCAAGACATCTTTCAATCGAGAATGATCTTTCAGTCATTCTTTCCTGAGGATAGCTTACGATACTTCAACCTCTTCTGCCTCTTCTCCTGCACGTGAGCCACCACACCACTTGATCCATCACTCAACACTTAGTTCTACACAGTTTTATGGTTTTCATACATCTTTTTTTCCCATAGAAATATGAATTCTTTAAGAAGAGGAGGTAGCCTTCTGCTTCTCTTAAGGCAGAAGTTACTGTTTATGTTCTTATTTGAATGCTAACTTTGGTTCCAGAAAGGATGAAGGTATCTATTAGTGGGAAACACTTCTAAGAAGATGGATTAGTATCAAACTTTGCAATTGTGGTTCCCATGCCTGATCTTCCAGTGACCTTTAAAATTTTTTTTTAATTGAAAGGCACGGTAAGAAATACAGTTTAGATGGTGATCCAATGCATCTATCTGTTTATGGATCTACCATCAATCTCCCACATGCCAATGTTTTCTTCTCTACCTTACTTTTTAATGTGAGTGGTAAGTGCTTAGTCTATATTATGACTCATAAACTGACCAGACCTACTTTTTAGAAAAATCACTCTTTTAGCCAATATCTACTTTTAGTAAACAATAATTTCATGTACTTTTTAATAACATTTAAGTCTCTAAAATAATGTGATCAGAAACAAATGAAATGTAAACAATTATTATGTCAGGCATTCTTCTTTAACTTACATGGGCTATCCTCACCTATCTCTAAGGGTCTCAAATACACACTCATGTGTGCACACAAGTGTGCATGTCCCCCCCCACTTACAGAAAGAACCAGGAATCACAACCTCAAACTCCATGAGAGCTCAGGCAGAGAAAGTGATGAGTAAATTGACTCCAACCCTCTACAGCACAGAGTGGAGAATATGGGTCTTGTTTACAGATTGCAGTAATGAGTCAGCCCTAGCCAGGTGCTCACATGAGGGGAACAGGAGGCCAATGGAGCCACAGCTTCTGATTATTTAACAGAAGCCACAAGTCTTGATTGTGACATAAACTCACCTGAATTTTAAATGCCAGCAGCCTGTTTCTTTTTTTAAGCTGTGAAAGCCAGAATTCTTTGATCAACAGGATCTGGCCAAGAGGTCCCTAGTGAGCTTTAAAAAGACAAAGTGCATTCATAATCTCTGAACAGAACAGAAATGTGGCCTTTGGTGTGATGGGTGGCACTTTTGTCCATCTGGTCAAGGTGTGTGACCCTCCACTGGACAGCACGACCCAGGTAATGGCAGACGAACACACTGACCTTTATTTGCCCTTCCAGAAGGTCTCTTCTAGCCTATACCCACAAGCTCTTCCATCTTACTCGCTTCACTATGCCCAATTGGCTTGCCGGGAACTGTTTCATAAGCAGCATTACAACCCATTAAATGTTAGGATAGGCCTTTCTCAAAATAATGTAGTAGGCTAATGCCCAGAGGCAGTAAGAAGAAAACAAGGGGAATGAAAAAATAAAAGAAAGCAAGTAAAATGAATAACACATCAAATAGGCTAATGGTCTTACATAACCTAATACTGTGATATCTTTTCCGTTTCTCTGGAGAAAATGCAACACTAAACAAAGATGTTCTAATGGGTTCACCATGGAAGAACAGCAAATCCAATGTGTTTTGAATTTTTATGGTCCTGATTCTTTCTTTTTGTTTAGCCCCTGGGTTTTTACCTTGGTTGCTTGGCCAAAGATATCTCAAACAAACTAACACTTTTCTGTGACCTCATGCTCACAGAAACCAGTGGATTGGATACCCAGAGAGGTCAAATACTAAAGTCAGGATTGGACTTTCTAATGTTCCCTAGGAAGATAAGGATTCAGACATAGGAATAATGTGGCCACACAAATGCAATTATAGTTTCCAATTTCTCCATAATTATGTTCCCTAAATGACACCCCTGTCACTCCCAACATGGATGTTGCCATCGGTGAAGCATCTTGAAGAAACTGAGAGCTCAGAAAATACTGGAGAATCCACTAATGCATCTGTACACTGAATTCTATCAAAGCAATGTCAAAAGAGGCAAGAACTTAAGCTAAAGGTTGCCTGGCAGGACTCGACTTTCAAATCCAAGACATTTCACCTCTCTGCACATGCATTTTCATTTGTAAAATAAAGAGTCATAAAAACACTGACCTGAGATTTTTCACTAGTATTAAATATGATATAGAGTTTATAATTAAATCTTCAAGAAAAAGGAACTTCTGTTATTCGATGGGAATGTAAGCTCCAAGTAGACAGGGAATTTTTCAGATTTATCCAGCTTTGCCTATACTGACTAGATGCCAATAATACCTCTACCCCCAGTTGTGACAATCAAAAATGTCTCCACACATTAACAAATGGCCCCTGAGGGGCAAAATGCCCCTTCCCATTGAAGGTCCCTGAAACAGACCAAGCACAAGAACACAGGGGAGAAACTGAGTCATGCTTGAGAGGTAAGAGACTGCATAGACAAGGAGGCTTCTGAGTTCAATAGCTGCAGCTGCATCACACTGGGTGACAGTGACCTTCTCCAGCTGTACATGTTCCTGCCCCTCCTGCTCTGATCTGGCACCTGCCTGGCCGACCCCATCTCCAGAGAAGGCAGCAGTGTTGCCTGGAGATGAGGGGAGCGACCCCACTGCCTTCTCTGGCACTGTTTTCTGACCCTTGCAGCAGGGTGTGAAATGGAACCCAAGGTGCCCGATCATTTTGCTCAACACCACTCGATGTCCTGAGCAGAGACAGCTCCTGCCAACATCCACCGTTCACACACATCTTTGGTGGTGGCTATCCATTCTCTGCTCCACCTATGTGATCCTTTTTGTACCAATTCACTTTTTTTTCCTTGAGAAAATGTGTTATAAATGGAACCATCAAATCAATGTCATAAACTAATGTGATCCAGCCTGGTACAGTGGCCCATGCCTGTAACCTCAGCACTCTGGGAGGCTGAGGCGGGAGGATTGCAAGTTTGAGTCCAGACTGGCCAACTTAGCAAGACACTGTATCAAAAGAAAAGATAAAAAGAGGCTCAGGATGTAAGTCAGTGGGAAGGTCCAGGATTCAGTCACAAAAAATAAATGAACACATAAATAACCTCATGTGAGCTGCCACATTGCCACTATCGAAATTGAAAGCAGATATAAAAATGAAAATAAAACAAGGTTATTAAACTCTGTCTTTGTGCTCTTGCTGTCAAAAGCCAGGGCTGGAAATCAGGTAAGTTAGAAAGCATTGGAGATGTCTGTAAGAACTGCCAGCACCTGTGTGCAGTATTTCTCCATGATTTCATCTGAGAGGCCAAAAGAGTGGACAGGAAAGGCTTTGTCACTGGAAGATTCCCATTTAAAGCCAGGCCTGCTCCGGAGGGCGTACAAGGGGGTAAGGAAGACAGGAAGTCTCAGCCCAGTTTCCTCATGGCAGGTCATGACCTTGGGGAAGTTCCTGGACCTCTTGAAGTTCCGGTGACCTCGTAATTCAAACGTAAGAAGATCTCAAGCCTCACCGGGGATGAGTGGAGACTCAGTCTTGCATTTACCAAAGGCTCAGACATCAAGTGAGTGTTTAATTAGGTCTTGTGGTTGTTGTTGACCTTTGAACTCTTTAAAGTTTCCTTCAAGG